GCACGTGTCTCTTTCGGATCTGGTTTCCTCGGTGTGTATGCCTAGAAGTGGTATTGCTGGGTTGGTGGGAATGCAAACTAGTACAGCCGCTATGGAAAACAGTGTGGAGATTTCTTAAAAAACTGGAAATAGGAAGTCTAATTTTATAATTAAAAAATAAATAGTTTCTGCTCTTAAGCATATTTATACCTGGCTCCTTTAGAGTCGTGTGCATGCAATAAGCTTTTTTGTTTGTTTGTTTTTAAACTAATTTTTATTTGTTTAGTTTTGGCTGTGCTGGGTCTTTTTTTGCTGTGTGGGCTTTCTCTAGTTGCCATGAGTGGGGGCTACTCTCTAGTTGTGGTGGACGGGCTTCTCATTGCAGTGGCTTCTCTTGTTGCAGAGCATGGGCTCTCTAGGCATGTGGGCTCAGTATTTGTGGCTTCTGGGCTCTAGGGCACAGGTTTGGTATTTGTGGCATGGCTTAGTTGTTCCTTGGCAGGTGGGATCTTCCCAGAACTAGGGATCGAGACTGTGTCTCCTGCATTGGCAGGAGGATTCTTTACCATGAGCCACCAGGGAAGCCCATGTTTTTCTTATTTCTAACTGCCTGTTATAAAACAGCTTGTTTCTGAAACTTCAGTTTACACAATTCAATTTAATTCAACACCATCCAATCCAAGTCAGCAAATGTGTGCATTCTTACTGGCCTCCAGCCTGTTATAGGCATTTGAATATCATCAGTGCACAGAATGGCAAAGAGTCCTGCCTTCCTAGGGTTTACATTCTAGTGGAAGACAAGAAATGATCCACAAGAAGCATAATCATGGGTAAGCCTGTAACATGTTAAAGGGGGTTATGTTGTCTGGGAAAGAATGATTAGGGCTGGTAAAGAGACTGGTGGTGCCAGAAAGAGCTAGAACCTGGCTTCATGGTAAATGGTACAGCAGGTGTTATTGCAAAGGTGAGATTTTATTGGACAGGAAAGGAAACAAAAGTGTGAGCCAACAGAGTGTCCAGTGAGGGCAAGTTCAAGGACCAGGAGTGAGCTGGGGAGGAGGCAGAGTTCAGAGAAAGGCAGATAGTAAAAGAGCTTTCCCACTTTTGTAAGGACTTTAACCTGTCAATCAATTAATTCATTCAACATGTATGCTAGACTCTAGGTTCATCCACATCACTACAAAGACCCAATTTCATTCCCTTTTATGGCTGTGTGATATTCCATTGTATTTATCTACTATTGTGTGTAAAATAGATGGCTGGTGGGAACCTGTTATACAGCACAGGGAGCTCAGTCCGGTGCTCTCTGATGACCTAGAGGGGTGGAACTGGGGGTGGGGGTGGGAGAGGTCCAAGAGGAAGGAGATACATGTATGCACAGGGCTGATTCACTTTGTTGTACTGCAGAGACTAGCACAACACTGCAAAGCAACTGTATGCCAATTAAAAATATATAAAAATTTTAAAAAATTAATTCAATCCAAATTATTGGAATGTTTTGAATAGAAGAGTGACATGAAAGGACACAGGTTTTAAAAGGATTATTTTGGCTGCTACATGAGAGCAGGGTGAGAAGGACAAGGAGAAAATGCCCCTTGGAGGCTTCGGGGTGACCCAGATGTAATCTGAGGGTCTATTGGAAGAAGAGGGATGATGGACAGAGTCGTGAAATACTTTAAATTGAGGCAATGGAATTTGCTGAAAGAGTGAATATGGTGTGTGATGAAGTAGATAAAGACAAAACAGTAGGCTTTCAGCTCTGTAGGTAAGAGCTAGATGGTTTAGACCCTGCAGGTTTTGTTAAAGCCTTTACATTGTATGATAATTATGAGAACATCATTCAAGACTTTTAAGCTGAATGGTAACATGATCTTATTTATTCAGTTATTTCAGTTTCCAGTTCATTCAACTCTTTGTGGAGAATGAGTGGTGGGGATGAAACAGGTGTGGGGGAGGATGTGAGAAGCAGCTCAATTCAACAAAGACTTTGTAACTAGGGTTTACAGGTCTTGCTGCTGGGTCAGATGCTGAGAGGTCAAAGAAAGCAGTATCAAGGTTGGCTTCTTGGTTTTTGGCTGTCCACAGAGTGGGATAGATTAACTGGAAGTTATTAACTGAATAAAGGAATCTTTTGGAAGAAGTCCTTCTACTCAGGGTAGGATGTGGCTGGATTATGGGCCATTCTATTATCTCTTTGGAGATCTTGGATATAATGTAATTTACTTAGAAATATTTATCTAATATGTAAATATATAAATATATACATCTACAAATATCTTTCTGTATACAATATGGAAGATTTTTTTCTGATTATTCTATATTCCTTTGTTCCTTTGAGTGCAAGTCCTTTGATTTTTTAGACCCTCTTCTGCCTTTTTCATGGCTTTGAGCTTTCTCATATGTTTGACAATTAATCAGAAACCTATGCACCCCCACCCTGGTAGTCCTTCACCAGAGCAGTGGTTCTTACAGGAGGGAGTCTCTCATGGATACAGCTTGGGTGAGAGAGGACCTTGGCTTCCTGCTGCAAATTTGCATCTCCTTCCTTTGCCTCGGGGGAGGGGGGTGTGTCTTCTCAGCCTCTAATGTGAGAAGAGTTCCAATTTGTAATTCAAGTATGGCCACTTGTTCATGAACCTGTGCCTTGTGTCACTTCCATGCCACCTCTGGATTTGAGGGTGAAGGCTGGGAAGGTGAGATTTTGTATGTGCCCACTTTGCTGTTCCTTTGAAATGTACTTTCCTAGGTTTGCTCTAATAGATGGATAGGGTTGCTCAAACATTGGATCATTTATAGGTTGTGTGCAAGGAATCTTAAACTGCAGGGCTTCCTAGGTGGCTCAGTGGTAAAGAATCTGCCTGTCAATACAAGAGACGAGGGTTCAAGCCCTGGGTTGGAACGATCCCCTGGAGAAGGAAATGGCAACCCTCTCCAGTAGTCTTGCCTGGAGAACTCCATGGACAGAGGAGCCTAGTAGTCTACAGTCTGTGGGGTCTCGAAAGAGTCGGACATGACTTAGTGACTAAACAACAACAACCTTGAACTACTCAAACAGCCTCTGCTTCTCCTGGTATTTTCTGTCCCGTTTCAGAACCAGAAGATAATGGATCTGTACAACCAAGCCAAGCCTGTGAAGCCATTCCTTTTCTACCATGAAACGATAGGCAGGACCTCCACATTTGAGTCCGTGGCCTTTCCTGGATGGTTCATTGCCTCTTCTGAGACAAACCAGCCCATCTTTCTCATTTCCAAGCTGGGGAACGTGTACAATACTGCCTTCCAACTAAATTTCAAGGTTTGAACTCAACCTAGAGGTGGCAACTTGGTCTTATCATTGCTAGCACTCAGTGTCTTTGTCTGTATCATCTCTGTGTCATTTTCACCAGTGCTTAGAGGTGGGCTTGACCCCGTTCTCATCTTATTTTATAAACAGAAGAAGCAATGACTCTATGGAAACCAAGGCATAGAATGTGGGCTCAGAAGCAAAGGAGGTGGGTGGTGTGTGGCTCTCCTTTCCAGCTGCAATGGTCCATCCCTCAAACCATCTGTACAAAGATATCAGGACCCTAAAACAGTAGGACTCTCTCTTGAGCGTGGTCATGAAGAAGCCTCAGAGCTCATGAGTCTGTCTTATCCAAGATACTGAGACTAGCTTGGAGCTGATCTTTCTATTCTGCTTTGTTTCCTGATGGGATTACATTTCCCATAATCTCTATATGTTTCCAGTACATTGCAAGGGTTAATACATCATTTTAAGGGTTAGAATCTTGTAAAAGAAAATAACTTCTTTTTTTAGAAAATAACTCTTAATGAAATTGAATTATTTTGTCTAATTCTAATGTGTTACCATAAAGCCAGTAGCTTTTCCCTGGTGGCTCAGAGGTAAAGAATCCACCTGCAGTGCAGGAGCCGCAGGAGAGGTGGGTTTGATCCCTGGGTTGGGATGATCCCCTGGAGGAGGGCATAACAACCCACTCCAGTGTTCTTGCTTGGAGAATCCCATGGACAGAGGAACCTGGCAGGTTACAGTCCATGGTGTCGCAAAGAGTCAGACACGACTGAAGCGACCTAGTACACATGCACACACCAGAGAACCAAATATAAACTCTAGGTTGTTTATACAATAAGAATGCTAAAACAGATATAAAATGAAATAGGAGACGAGGAGCAAACTGAAATTAGCAAGAGTAATTAAATGAGAACACCACAGTGGGTCAGCCTGGGGCTTAGCTGAAGGGAGAAGGGTCCTTATCAATGGTGATAGAATGGGGTGGTGGGGATATTTCATGTAAAAAGGCACTACTATTTACTATTTTCTGTAGAATCTCATGCCTTGCTTTCTTTTCTTTTTAGGAACTCTCACAAGTTAACTACTCCCTCTAAAAACTGCAGAAAAAGGTGCTTTTTGGGGAATGGAGAGCCTAAATTCCTCACCAGCCATGCTTCAGATGTTATCCTGTGATGAAATGACACAACTGATTTAGGGTATAATTGTAGAAAGATGTAGCCAAGACCTGGTTCTGCATATCGTAGATTTCTTATTCTGACTCTGATACTACAAATGCAGAAAACGATGTTAGCTTAAATACAGTCCACACAATAGCACCAGTAATGAATTTTTTTAATGAAACTTTCATTAAAGTGGTGGACAGTCACACCACCTACTCTACTAGGCAGGCTAGTAAGCAGTCAATAAGCACTGACTTAACACAGTGTCTCTTGATTCTTAGTTTTCTTTCTTTTTTTGGAAGTTTTCTTCTTCAATGAAATACTTTTTTAGCATGCAGTTTTATAAAAGTCAACATTAATATGGACACGAAGCTAATTCATTCTGGAATATCAAATAGAAGAATTACTCATTGGATATTTAGTACTACAGTTACTGCTAATAAATGGTGACAGGTTGTTACATCTGTCGATTTGCATCATTATTTTGTCAATTGTTACATGTGACAGTTGGGGTCTGATGACACATTCCCTTGTGACATGATTATGATTCTGAGTGCCATGGCATAGCCAGTCCTACCAGAGGCTGTGTGATAATTCCGTTTCCTCATCTCCTTTCTCTACTGTGGAATCTCTGTTCACACAGGCACTATGGTACCTTTGTCAACTGGCATGTACAAGAGCTCATGCAAAACTCTAATAAGGTGATGTCTTGTGGCTGGGCTCAGGGGTAAGGTGGTCACCCATAAGAGATTCTGATAACATATTTAGAGCATACTCAGAATGAAAAATGGGGCTTCTCTGGTGGCTCAGGGGCTTTCCTGGTAGCTCAAATGGTAAAAAATCTGCCTGAAATGCAGGAGACATGGGTTTGATTCCTGGATCCAGAAGATCCCCTGGAGAAAGGAATGGCTACCCACTCCAGGATTCTTGCCTGGGAAATCCCATGGACAGAGGAGCCTGGTGGACTACAGTCCATGGGGTTGCAGAGTCAGACACGATTGAGTGACTAACACTTTCACTCTCAAAATGCAAACATAGGGGATTTCCCTGTGATCCAGTGGTTAAAATTTAGTGCTTTTATTGCCTTGGGCTTGTGTTCAATCCCTGGACAGAGAACTAAGATCCCATAAGCCAAGCAGCATGGCCCAAAACAAACAATCAAAGCAAAACCAAAAAAACAAACAAAAATGAAAAACACAGTAATCTCATCTTGTGGAACCCAGAGAATAGCCTTCCATGGACCCCCAGCTTACCCATCACATTTGAGAAATACCGCACACGATCTGGCACAGTGTATGAAATCAGGGGAGGTTCTTGTGAGCAGCAGCACTCATTTTCAGCTCATCACCTGGTGCACATCTGACTTTCACGTGTTTGCTTTGTCTAGTGCTCTTGCACTGGAGTACCATGTGCTCCAGGCCAACATTCATTGAAGCATTTGGTTCCTTTGGATCTTTAGCAACTAGATACTACAGAAAACCTTGATGCCCTGGGAGAGGGGTTTCTGACTTCCAGTTGGGGGAGGGGATTAAGAACTTTGCCACCAAAATCACAAGTTCAGAGAAAACAGTTGAGTGGGATGTTTTCCTGTCAAGCTGCTTTGGGGCTTATATCATCTGGCCCCAGAATTGCTGAAGGGCAAAGATGGTTTCCTGAATTAACAATTGGCCATGAGGACTAAAGATGCCTCCCCAAGACCCTGAGACCAAGGGTTGTAATGAATAATTTTTCATGTCAATGAAACATCAATCTGTATTTCTCACACTTGAGGATATGGTTGGATGGCATCATCAACTCAATGGATGTGAATTTGAGCAAGCTTCACGAGTTGGTGATAGACAGGGAAGCCTGGCATGCTGCAGTCCATGGGGTCACAAAGAGTGGGACACGACTGAGTGAACTGAACTGAACTGAACTGATGATGTGATATCACTTACATGTCAAATCTTAAAAAATGATACAAATGAACTGATTTACAAAACAGAAAAAGACTCATAGACAGAGAAAACAAGCTAATGGTTACCAAAGGGAAAATGGAGAGCAGTAAATTGGGAATTTGGGTTAATAGATATACCCTCCTATATATAAAATAGATAATCAATAAGAACCTACTGTATACACAGGAAACTATATTCAATATTTTGTAATAATTTTAATGGAAAAAATTCTGAAAAACAATATATGTATATATGTATGTATGTGAATCACTTTCCTATATACCTGAAACATTGTAAATCAACTCTACTTCAATTAAAAATAATAGGCACACAGTTTTTTGCTCCCCCTCCCCAGGAATTGTTTTTCCTAATGATATCATCTCCTTTAGCCTTTTCATTTTATGGGTGAGGAAAGGGAGGTGCACAATGTGGCAGTGACTTACTGAGGTGGCATTGACATTGATTATTTGACCTGGAAATCATGATAGCCTTGATTTTGGATCTTTCAATTTCTGTTTCCTGGAGTTGGGATATTATGAATCACAGTGTGAGAAATCAGCAACATTTATCCAGAACAAGACAGCACCTTGTGAGCCTTCTCACTTCCATCATTGGGCTGTTCTCATCTAGCACGGTGTCAGTGGATGACCCACCCCAGGCGGAGCACTCCTGGCACCTAAGCATCATTATGAAATGACTTAAGTGCTGACCTATATTGTGCAGTTGTTTCTCAAACTGAAGCAGCATCAGAATCACCTGGGGTATAAACTAAAAGCTCGGGTGTTTGGGCAAAATGTAGACCTAGTAAGTCAAACCTGGGCTTCCTTGGTGGCTCAGCGATAAAGAATTTGTGTGCAATGCAGGAGACTCGGAGTCCATACCTGGGTCAGGAAGATCACCTGGAGAAGGAAATGGCAACCTACTCCAACCTGGAAAATCCCATGGACAGAGGAGCCTGGTGGGCTAGAGTCCATGCGGTCACAAAAGAATCAGACATGACTTAGCAACTAAACAAGAACGACAAAGTTAAACCCACTCCTCACAATTCTGACTGTCTAGGCTTAGAGCTGGGCCTTAGATGAAAGAGAGGTATGTGGCAAGGTATGGAGACAGAGCATGGAGCTTCCAGCTTCTCTGAGGATGCCACTCACTCCAGACCTTCAACATGTTCACCGGCCTAGAAGTTCTCCAAACCCCATCTTTTTGGGTTTTTATGCAGGTTTCACTACATAGATATGATTGATTACATCATTGGCCATTAGCAATTGTTTCAACCTCCAGCCCCTCCCCTGTCCCTGGAGGTCAGAAGTTGGTGGCAATGAAAGTTCCAAACCTTTAATCCAAAGGTTGGTTTCCCAGCAACCTGCAAAAGTCACCTCATAACATAACAAAAGACACATTTATTTCTCTCAACACCTAGAACATTTCAACGGTTTTAACAGCTCTGTGCCAGAAATGGGGACAGAGATTAAACACGTATTTCTTTTTTAAATATTTATTTTGGCTGTGCTGGGTCTTCGTTGCTGCGCTTGGACTTTCTTTAGTTGTGGTGAGCTAGGGCTACTCTCTAGTTGTGGTTCTCTGGTTTCTCATTGTGCTGGCTTTTCTTGTTGCAGAGCACAGGCTCTAGGACCGTGGGCTTCGGTAGCTGCAGCACACGGGCTCAGTAGTTGTGACTCACGGGCCAAGTTGCCCGAGGCATGCACAATCTTCCCAGACTAGGGATTGAACCTGTGTCCCCTGCATTGACAGGCCCATTCTTAACCACTGGACAGCCAGAAAAGTCTGAACACGTATTTCTTAATTCAGATCACAACACATGTCCCATATTGGCTGACCTATGTCTTGAAGATATAAAATAATATTTAGCTGAGTACATGAGATTAGAGGCAAATTTCCATGTATGGGCTTTTCCCTTATCACTTAGAAACCTCCCTCAGTTATAAGGGTTGGTGACAAAATCTCTTTCTCAGCGTACAGGGAAGAGGCATGTGCCAAGTGCAGGGGTTGGGAGTGGAATGGGAGTGGAGTGGGGAGGACAGAAAAGCCAGCTCTCAGCAATGCAGTGGTGAACCACTCCCTCCCCATACCTCTTGTAAGCCAGCTCATGAGCTGGTCATCACTATTGGTGTGACCACTTCCTAGGAGCTGGTGAGGCCTGGAAAAACCCTGGCCACACGAGGAGAAAATTTTGTTTTGGGAATTAGAAAGATCAGAGCTAAGAGGATTGGTGACAAATTTTATTTTTTCTATGTGATAACTCAGGCTGTGTTCACGGTCTTTTAAAAACAATGTTTTCCAACAATATGATTTAATAATGAAAAAGTCAGAATTTTTAAAAATTAGATTTTAATTTTAAAAGATATTATTCAAGTTTAATGAAATATTTCACTACTGAACTAAAACTTTGCATTTACCAAATAAAAATATTACATCTTGCAAAAAAAAAAAAAGAGAGATGTTTCCAAAAACAGAATCACAAAGAGAACAGACATCTCAACCTGCAAAAGTCACCTCATAACATAACAAAAGTCACCTTTATTGCTCTCAACACCTAGGACATTTCAAGGGTTTTAGCAGCTCTGTGCCAGAAATGGGGAAAGAGATTAAACATGCATTTCTTTTTTAAATATTTATTTTATTTTGGCTATGGAATGAAGGGAATTGGGGAAGGATGGAGGAGTTTGAGATTAGCAGATGCAAGTTATTATATATAGGATGGGTAAACAGCAAGGTCCTATTGTATAGCACAGAGAACTACATTCAGTATTTCTGTGATAAATCATAATGAAAAGAATATTAAAAAGAATAAACACATGCACACAAAGTTCCCTTACATACAAATGAGTTCCATTCCCAGAGTGTGCTCCTAAGTCCAATTTGTTTGTAAGTCCAACAAAGTTGGCCTAATTACCCAACTAATACAAAGAGTTAAATACTGTAATACCGTAATACATTTATAATACTCTTCACACAAATAATACATAAAAAACAAACACAAAAAATTATGAAAACATTTAATCCTATAGTACGGTACCTTGAAGAGTACAGTAGTACAGTACAGCAGCTGGCACACAGGGGCTGGCATCCAGTGAACAGGCGAGAAGTGTTACTGACTGGAGGAGGGAGTTGGTAGAGCGGAAAGATCGTCAGCAAGAAGAGGTGGAGGGCAAGGTGCAATTTCACTCATACTTGGTGTTGATGGCACAAGTTCTGGTTCCTTGCTGGATTCAGTTCTATCCACACTCTTGAAAAAATGATCCAGTGATATCTGGGTAGTAGCACACTTGCATCTCTGAAAGTTTGCAACTTGAAGGTTCATATGTAGGGGACTTACTGTGTTTGCGTGTATTTGTTGTTGTTGTTTCGTCACTAAGTTGTGTCCAGCTCTTTTGCAACCCCATGGACTGTAGCCCACCAGGCTCCTCTGTCCATGGGATTTTCCAGTCAACAATACTGGAGCGGGTTGCCATGGCTGCTATTTCCTTCTCTGAGGGATCTTCCCGGCCAGGGACTGAACTCGCGGTTCCTGCGTTAGCAGGCAGAGTCTTTACTGCTGAGCCCTCAGGGAAGCCACGTGAGTGTACATGTATATATGTAGATCTCTCTCTCTCTGAAACCTTTGCTGTACATCTTTGTCAATCAACTATATGTCGATAAATACATTTAAAAAAAATGTTTCAAATATATCATCGGTTGTCTAACTCTTAACATTTGAATTTAAAATAATTTTCCTTTGTCAATGGTGCTCTTTCTTTTTCAAG